GGCTGACTGTGGGTGACTGCGGGTGACTGCGGGTGACTGCGGGTGTCTGTGGGTGACTGTGGCTGACTGCGGGTGACTGTGGGTGACTGCGGGTGACTGTGGGTGACTGTGGCTGACTGCGGGTGACTGCGGGTGACTGCGGGTGACTGTGGGTGACTGACTGCGGGTGACTGCGGGTGACTGTGGGTGACTGTGGGTGACTGTGAGTGACTGCGGGTGACTGCGGGTGACTGTGGGTGACTGTGGCTGACTGTGGGTGACTGTGGCTGACTGTGGGTGACTGTGGCTGACTGTGGGTGACTGTGGCTGACTGTGGCTGACTGTGGGTGACTGTGAGTGACTGCGGGTGACTGTGGGTGACTGTGGGTGACTGTGGCTGACTCTGGGTGACTGTGGGTGACTGTGGCTGACTGTGGGTGACTGTGGCTGACTGTGGGTGACTGTGGCTGACTGCGGGTGACTGTGGGTGACTGTGGGTGACTGTGGCTGACTCTGGGTGACTGTGGGTGACTGTGGCTGACTGCGGGTGACTGCAGGTGACTGTGGGTGACTGTGGCTGACTGCGGGTGACTGTGGGTGACTGTGGGTGACTGTGGGTGACTGCGGGTGACTGCAGGTGACTGTGGGTGACTGTGGCTGACTGCAGGTGACTGTGGGTGACTGTGGGTGACTGCGGGTGACTGTGGGTGACTGTGGCTGACTGCAGGTGACTGTGGGTGACTGTGGGTGACTGCGGGTGACTGTGGGTGACTGTGGCTGACTGTGGGTGACTGTGGGTGACTGTGAGTGACTGTGGCTGACTGCGGGTGACTGCGGCTGACTGTGGCTGACTGCGGGTGACTGCGGGTGACTGCGGCTGACTGTGGGTGACTGTGGCTGACTGTGGGTGACTGTGGCTGACTGCGGGTGACTGCGGGTGACTGTGGGTGACTGTGGCTGACTGCGGCTGACTGCGGGTGACTGTGGGTGACTGTGGCTGACTGCGGCTGACTGCGGGTGACTGCGGGTGACTGTGGGTGACTGACTGCGGGTGACTGCGGGTGACTGTGGGTGACTGTGGGTGACTGTGAGTGACTGCGGGTGACTGCGGGTGACTGTCGGTGACTGTGGGTGACTGTGGGTGACTGCGGCTGACTGTGGGTGACTGTGGGTGACTGTGGGTGACTGTGGCTGACTGCGGGTGACTGTGGGTGACTGTGGGTGACTGCGGCTGACTGCGGGTGACTGTGGGTGACTGTGGCTGACTGCGGCTGACTGCGGGTGACTGCGGGTGACTGTGGGTGACTGACTGCGGGTGACTGCGGGTGACTGTGGGTGACTGTGGGTGACTGTGAGTGACTGCGGGTGACTGCGGGTGACTGTCGGTGACTGTGGGTGACTGCGGGTGACTGCGGCTGACTGTGGGTGACTGTGGGTGACTGTGGGTGACTGTGGCTGACTGTGGCTGACTGTGGGTGACTGTGAGTGACTGCGGGTGACTGTGGGTGACTGTGGGTGACTGTGGCTGACTCTGGGTGACTGTGGGTGACTGTGGCTGACTGTGGGTGACTGTGGCTGACTGTGGGTGACTGTGGCTGACTGCGGGTGACTGCGGGTGACTGTGGGTGACTGTGGGTGACTGTGGCTGACTCTGGGTGACTGTGGGTGACTGTGGCTGACTGTGGCTGACTGCGGGTGACTGCGGGTGACTGTGGCTGACTGTGGGTGACTGTGGGTGACTGTGGCTGACTGTGAGTGACTGCGGGTGACTGCGGGTGACTGTGGGTGACTGTGGCTGACTGTGGGTGACTGTGGCTGACTGTGGGTGACTGTGGGTGACTGTGAGTGACTGTGGCTGACTGCGGGTGACTGCAGGTGACTGTGGGTGACTGCGGGTGACTGCGGGTGACTGTGGGTGACTGTGGCTGACTGTGGGTGACTGTGGCTGACTGTGGGTGACTGTGGGTGACTGTGAGTGACTGTGGCTGACTGCGGGTGACTGCAGGTGACTGTGGGTGACTGTGGGTGACTGCGGGTGACTGTGGCTGACTGTGTGTGACTGTGGCTGACTGTGGCTGACTGTGTGTGACTGTGGGTGACTGTGGGTGAGACTCCACCTTGAAGTGTTGGTTGTTGTGAGGGTTGATGCGGAAGCAGGAGATGAAGCAGTCCATCATGAGGTCCAGGTCGGCACTGAGACTCCCGGCACCACGGGAGAACGGCCGGGCCGGGTTGAAGAGCAACGTCTGGCATGGCCAGAGACACGGGGGGTGACACTCACTCACTCACCAACTCACTCACCAACTCACCCACTCACCAACTCACCCACTCACCAACTCACTCACTCACCAACTCACTCACTCACCAACTCACTCACTCACCACTCACTCACTGACTCACTCACCAACTCACCCACTCACTCACCCACTCACTCACTCATCAACTCACCCACTCACCAACTCACTCACCAACTCACTCACCCACTCACTCACCAACTCACTCACCACTCACCAACTCACTCACTCACCAACTCACCCACTCACCAACTCACTCACCACTCACTCACTCACCAACTCACTCACCCACTCACTCACCAACTCACTCACCAACTCACTCACTGACTCACTCACCAACTCACTCACCAACTCACTCACTCACTCACCAACTCACTCACCAACTCACTCACTGACTCACTCACCAACTCACTCACCAACTCACTCACTCACTCACCAACTCACTCACCAACTCACTCACCACTCACTCACCCACTCACCCACCCACCTACCCACCCACCTTGAGGTCAGGCAGGATGGACTGCACGAGGAAACAGATGACCGAGTGATCCTCCCAGCTGATGTACGTGCTCGCCTTACACAGCTTGACTCACTCACTGACTCACTCACTCACTCACTGACTCACTCACTCACCCACTCACTCACTCACCCACTCACCCACCCACTCACTCACTCACTCACCCACTCACCCACCCACCCACTCACCCACCCACCCACCCACTCACCCACTCACTCACCCACCCACTCACCCACCCACCCACCCACTCACCCACCCACCCACCCACCTTGAGGTCAGGCAGGATGGACTGCACGAGGAAACAGATGACCGAGTGATCCTCCCAGCTGATGTACGTGCTCGCCTTACACAGCTTGACTCACTCACTGACTCACTCACCCACTCACTGACTGACTCACTCACTCACCCACTCACTCACTGACTCACCCACCCACTCACTCACCCACCCACCCACCCACTCACTCACCCACCCACCCACCCACTCACCCACTCACCCACCCACCTTGAGGTCAGGCAGGATGGACTGCACGAGGAAACAGATGACCGAGTGATCCTCCCAGCTGATGTACGTGCTCGCCTTACACAGCTTGACTCACTCACTGACTCACTCACTCACTCACCCACTCACTCACTCACTCACTGACTCACTCACTCACTCACCCACCCACCCACTCACTCACCCACCCACCCACTCACTCATCCACCCACTCACCCACCCACCCACCCACCCACTCACCCACCCACCCACCTTGAGGTCAGGCAGGATGGACTGCACGAGGAAACAGATGACCGAGTGATCCTCCCAGCTGATGTACGTGCTCGCCTTACACAGCTTGACTCACTCACCCACTCACCCACTCACTCACCCACTCACTCACTCACCCACTCACCCACCCACTCACTCACTCACCCACCCACTCACCCACCCACTCACTTACTCACTCACCCACTCACCCACCCACTCACCCACTCACCCACCCACCCACCCACCTTGAGGTCAGGCAGGATGGACTGCACGAGGAAACAGATGACCGAGTGATCCTCCCAGCTGATGTACGTGCTCGCCTTACACAGCTTGACTCACTCACTCACTCACCCACTCACTCACCCACTCACCCACCCACTCACCCACTCACCCACTCACTCACCCACTCACCCACCCACCCACTCACCCACCCACCCACTCACTCACTCACTGACCCACCCACTCACTCACTCACCCACTCACCCACTCACCCACCCACCCACCCACTCACCCACCCACCTTGAGGTCAGGCAGGATGGACTGCACGAGGAAACAGATGACCGAGTGATCCTCCCAGCTGATGTACGTGCTCGCCTTGCACAGCTTGACTCACTCACTGACTCACTCACTGACTCACTGACTCACTGACTCACTGACTCACTCACTCACCCACCCACTCACCCACTCACCCACCCACCTTGAGGTCAGGCAGGATGGACTGCACGAGGAAACAGATGACCGAGTGATCCTCCCAGCTGATGTACGTGCTCGCCTTACACAGCTTGACTCACTCACTGACTCACTCACTGACTCACTCACCCACTCACTCACTGACTCACCCACCCACTCACTCACCCACCCACCCACCCACTCACTCACCCACCCACCCACTCACCCACTCACCCACCCACCTTGAGGTCAGGCAGGATGGACTGCACGAGGAAACAGATGACCGAGTGATCCTCCCAGCTGATGTACGTGCTCGCCTTACACAGCTTGACTCACTCACTGACTCACTCACTCACTCACCCACCCACCCACTCACCCACCCACTCACTCACTCACCCACCCACTCACTCACCCACTCACCCACTCACCCACCCACTCACCCACTCACTCACTCACTCACCCACTCACCCACTCACTCACCCACTCACCCACCCACTCACTCACTCACCCACTCACCCACCCACCCACCCACCCACTCACCCACTCACTCACTCACTCACCCACCCACTCACCCACCCACCCACCCACTCACCCACCCACCCACCCACTCACTCACCCACCCACCCACCCACCTTGAGGTCAGGCAGGATGGACTGCACGAGGAAACAGATGACCGAGTGATCCTCCCAGCTGATGTACGTGCTCGCCTTACACAGCTTGACTCACTCACTGACTCACTCACTCACTCACTGACTCACTCACTCACCCACTCACTCACTCACCCACTCACCCACCCACTCACTCACTCACTCACCCACTCACCCACCCACCCACTCACCCACCCACCCACCCACTCACCCACTCACTCACCCACCCACTCACCCACCCACCCACCCACTCACCCACCCACCCACCCACCTTGAGGTCAGGCAGGATGGACTGCACGAGGAAACAGATGACCGAGTGATCCTCCCAGCTGATGTACGTGCTCGCCTTACACAGCTTGACTCACTCACTGACTCACTCACTCACTCACTGACTCACTCACTCACCCACTCACTCACTCACCCACTCACCCACCCACTCACTCACTCACTCACCCACTCACCCACCCACCCACTCACCCACCCACCCACCCACTCACCCACTCACTCACCCACCCACTCACCCACCCACCCACCCACTCACCCACCCACCCACTCACCCACCCACCCACCCACCTTGAGGTCAGGCAGGATGGACTGCACGAGGAAACAGATGACCGAGTGATCCTCCCAGCTGATGTACGTGCTCGCCTTACACAGCTTGACTCACTCACTGACTCACTCACTCACTCACTGACTCACTCACTCACCCACTCACTCACTCACCCACTCACTCACCCACTCACTCACTCACTCACCCACTAACCCACCCACCCACTCACCCCCCCACCCACCCACTCACCCACTCACTCACCCACCCACTCACCCACCCACCCACCCACTCACCCACCCACCCACCCACCTTGAGGTCAGGCAGGATGGACTGCACGAGGAAACAGATGACCGAGTGATCCTCCCAGCTGATGTACGTGCTCGCCTTACACAGCTTGACGCTCGCCACTGCGGCGCTCTCCGTGAGCTGACGGCTTGTCCCGTGGCCAGAGAGGGCACGTCGCACATTCTCTAGGAAGAGTTTCTGGTGAGTGGTGAGTGAGAGAGAGAGAGTGGTGAGTGGTGAGAATGGTGAGTGAGTGGTGAGTGTGGTGAGTGTGGTGAGTGTGGTGAGTGAGAGAGAGAGAGGGCACGTCGCACATTCTCTAGGAAGAGTTTCTGGTGAGTGGTGAGAGAGTGGTGAGTGAGAGAGAGAGAGAGTGGTGAGTGGTGAGTGAGTGGTGAGTGTGGTGAGTGAGTGAGAGTGGTGAGTGAGAGAGAGAGAGGGCGCGTCGCACATTCTCTAGGAAGAGTTTCTGGTGAGTGGTGAGAGAGTGGTGAGTGAGAGAGAGAGTGGTGAGTGAGAGAGAGAGAGAGGGCGCGTCGCACATTCTCTAGGAAGAGTTTCTGGTGAGTGGTGAGAGAGTGGTGAGTGAGTGGTGAGTGTGGTGAGTGAGAGAGAGAGAGAGAGGGCGCGTCGCACATTCTCTAGGAAGAGTTTCTGGTGAGTGGTGAGTGTGGTGAGTGAGAGAGAGAGAGGGCGCGTCGCACATTCTCTAGGAAGAGTTTCTGGTGAGTGGTGAGTGGTGAGTGAGAGAGAGTGGTGAGTGTGGTGAGTGAGAGAGAGTGGTGAGAGTGGTGAGTGAGAGAGAGGGCGCGTCGCACATTCTCTAGGAAGAGTTTCTGGTGAGTGGTGAGTGGTGAGTGAGAGAGAGGGCGCGTCGCACATTCTCTAGGAAGAGTTTCTGGTGAGTGGTGAGTGGTGAGTGAGAGAGAGTGGTGAGTGTGGTGAGTGAGAGAGAGAGTGGTGAGTGTGGTGAGTGAGTGGTGAGTGAGAGAGAGAGAGTGGTGAGTGAGAGAGAGAGAGAGAGTGGTGAGTGAGAGAGAGAGAGGGCGCGTCGCACATTCTCTAGGAAGAGTTTCTGGTGAGTGGTGAGGGTGGTGAGTGAGTGGTGAGTGAGAGAGAGTGGTGAGTGAGAGAGAGAGAGGGCGCGTCGCACATTCTCTAGGAAGAGTTTCTGGTGAGTGGTGAGTGAGTGGTGAGTGAGTGGTGAGTGAGAGAGAGAGAGAGAGGGCGCGTCGCACATTCTCTAGGAAGAGTTTCTGGTGAGTGAGAGAGAGAGTGGTGAGTGAGTGGTGAGTGAGAGAGAGAGAGTGGTGAGTGAGAGAGTGGTGAGTGAGTGGTGAGTGAGAGAGAGAGAGGGCGCGTCGCACATTCTCTAGGAACAGTTTCTGGTGAGCGAGAGAGAGTGGTGAGTGAGAGAGAGAGTGGTGAGTGAGAGAGTGGTGAGTGGTGAGTGAGTGAGAGAGAGAGAGTGAGTGGTGAGTGTGGTGAGTGAGAGAGAGAGAGGGCGCGTCGCGCATTCTCTAGGAAGAGTTTCTGGTGAGTGGTGAGTGTGGTGAGTGAGAGAGAGAGTGGTGAGTGTGGTGAGTGAGTGGTGAGTGAGAGAGAGAGAGTGGTGAGTGAGAGAGAGAGTGAGAGTGGTGAGTGAGAGAGAGAGAGGGCGCGTCGCACATTCTATAGGAAGAGTTTCTGGTGAGTGGTGAGTGTGGTGAGTGAGAGAGAGAGAGTGGTGAGTGAGAGAGAGAGTGGTGAGTGGTGAGAGTGGTGAGTGTGGTGAGTGAGAGAGTGAGTGTGGTGAGTGAGAGAGAGAGTGGTGAGTGGTGAGAGTGGTGAGTGTGGTGAGAGAGAGAGAGAGAGTGGTGAGTGTGGTGAGTGAGTGGTGAGTGTGGTGAGTGAGAGAGAGAGAGGGCGCGTCGCACATTCTCTAGGAAGAGTTTCTGGTGAGTGGTGAGTGAGTGAGAGAGAGTGGTGAGAGAGTGGTGAGTGAGTGGTGAGTGTGGTGAGTGAGAGAGGGAGAGGGCACGTCGCACATTCTCTAGGAAGAGTTTCTGGTGAGTGGTGAGAGAGTGGTGAGTGTGGTGAGTGGTGAGTGTGGTGAGTGGTGAGTGGTGAGTGAGAGAGAGTGGTGAGTGAGAGAGAGAGTGGTGAGTGTGGTGAGTGGTGAGTGAGTGAGAGAGAGAGTGGTGAGTGGTGAGTGAGAGAGAGAGAGAGTGGTGAGTGGTGAGTGGTGAGTGAGAGAGAGTGGTGAGTGAGAGAGAGAGAGGGCGCGTCGCACATTCTCTAGGAAGAGTTTCTGGTGAGCGAGAGTGTGGTGAGTGTGGTGAGTGTGGTGAGTGTGGTGAGTGAGAGAGAGAGTGGTGAGCGAGTGGTGAGCGAGAGAGTGGTGAGCGAGAGTGAGAGAGAGTGGTGAGCGAGCGAGTGAGAGAGTGAGTGAGCGAGTGAGTGGTGAGCGAGTGGTGAGCAAGTGGTGAGCGAGAGAGCGAGTGAAAGAGTGAGTGAGAGAGTGAGTGAGTCAGTGAGTGGTGAGCGAGTGAGAGAGTGAGTGAGTGGTGAGCGAGTGGTGAGCGAGTGGTGAGTGAGGGGTGAGCGAGTGGTGAGCGAGAGAGTGGTGAGCGAGAGTGAGAGAGAGTGGTGAGCGAGCGAGTGAGAGAGTGAGTGAGCGAGTGAGTGGTGAGCGAGTGGTGAGCAAGTGGTGAGCGAGAGAGCGAGTGAAAGAGTGAGTGAGAGAGTGAGTGAGTCAGTGAGTGGTGAGCGAGTGAGAGAGTGAGTGAGTGAGTGAGCGAGTGGTGAGCGAGTGAGAGAGTGAGTGGTGAGCGAGTGAGAGAGTGGTGAGTGAGTGGTGAGTGAGTGGTGAGTGAGTGGTGAGTGAGCCAGAGAGGCAGGCAGTGGGGACCTTGTTGGTGTTGCTGGCTTGCACAAAGTCTCCGTTGACCTCCTGGAGTGAGTGAGCGAGTGGTGAGCGAGCGAGTGAGCGGTGAGCGAGCGCGGTGAGCGAGTGGTGAGCGAGTGGAGAGAGTGGTGAGCGAGAGAGCGAGTGAGTGGTGAGCAAGCGAGAGAGAGAGAGTGGTGAGCGAGTGGTGAGTGAGTGGTGAGCGAGCGAGTGAGAGAGTGAGTGAGTGGTGAGCGAGTGGTGAGCGAGTGAGAGAGTGGTGAGTGAGCGAGTGAGAGAGAGAGTGGTGAGCGAGTGAGTGGTGAGAGAGAGAGAGTGAGTGGTGAGCGAGTGAGAGAGAGAGTGAGAGCGTGAGTGAGAGAGTGGTGAGTGAGCGAGTGAGAGAGTGAGTGGTGAGCGAGTGAGAGAGTGGTGAGCGAGTGGTGAGCGAATGGTGAGCGAGTGGTGAGCGAGTGGTGAGCGAGTGAGTGGTGAGCGAGTGGTGAGCGAGAGAGTGAGTGAGTCAGCGAGTGGTGAGTGAGCGAGTGGTGAGCGAGTGGTGAGCGAGTGAGTGGTGAGTGAGTGGTGAGTGAGTGGTGAGCGAGTGGTGAGCGAGTCAGAGGGGCAGGCAGTGGGGACCTTGTTGGTGTTGCTGTCTTACACAAAGTCTCCGTTGACCTCCTGGAGTGAGTGAGCGAGTGGTGAGCGAGTGGTGAGTGAGAGAGCGAGTGGTGAGCGAGAGAGAGAGTGAGTGGTGAGCGAGCGAGTGAGTGGTGAGCGAGTGAGAGAGAGAGTGGTGAGCGAGTGAGTGGTGAGAGAGAGTGAGTGAGAGAGTGAGTGAGAGAGTGAGCGAGTCAGTGAGTGGTGAGCGAGTGAGAGAGTGAGCGAGTGGTGAGCGAGTGGTGAGCGAGTGGTGAGCGAGTGGTGAGTGAGTGGTGAGTGAGCGGTGAGTGAGCGGTGAGCGAGCGGTGAGCGAGTGGTGAGCGAGTGGTGAGCGAGTGAGTGGTGAGCGAGTGGAGAGAGTGGTGAGCGAGTGAGAGAGAGAGTGGTGAGCGAGTGGTGAGTGAGTGGTGAGCAAGTGAGAGAGAGAGTGGTGAGCGAGTGAGTGGTGAGCGAGTGAGAGAGAGAGTGGTGAGCGAGTGGTGAGTGAGTGGTGAGTGAGTGGTGAGCGAGTCAGAGGGGCAGGCAGTGGGGACCTTGTTGGTGTTGCTGTCTTACACAAAGTCTCCGTTGACCTCCTGGAGTGAGTGAGCGAGCGAGTGAGCGGTGAGCGAGTGGTGAGTGAGTGGTGAGCGAGTGGTGAGCGAGTGGTGAGTGAGTGGAGAGTGAGTGAGAGTGGTGAGCGAGTGAGTGGTGAGAGAGAGAGAGAGTGAGTGGTGAGCGAGTGAGAGAGAGAGTGAGAGAGTGAGTGAGAGAGTGGTGAGTGAGCGAGTGAGAGAGTGAGTGGTGAGTGAGTGAGAGAGTGGTGAGCGAGTGGTGAGTGAGTGGTGAGCGAGTGGTGAGCGAGAGAGCGAGTGAGAGAGTGAGTGAGAGAGTGAGTGAGAGAGTGAGTGAGAGAGTGAGTGGTGAGCGAGTGAGAGAGTGAGTGGTGAGCGAGTGGTGAGTGAGTGGTGAGCGAGTGGTGAGCGAGTGGTGAGCGAGTGGTGAGCGAGTGGTGAGCGAGAGAGAGAGTGAGTGGTGAGCGGTGAGCGAGTGGTGAGCGAGCGAGTGAGAGAGTGGTGAGTGAGCGAGTGAGAGAGTGAGTGAGAGAGTGAGTGAGAGAGTGAGTGAGTGAGTGAGAGAGTGAGTGAGTCAGTGAGTGGTGAGCGAGTGGTGAGAGTGGTGAGCGAGAGAGAGTGGTGAGCGAGTGAGAGAGAGAGCGAGTGAGAGAGTGAGTGAGAGAGTGAGTGAGAGTGTGAGTGAGTCAGTGAGTGGTGAGCGAGTGAGAGAGTGAGCGAGTGGTGAGCGAGTGGTGAGTCAGCGAGTGGTGAGTGAGCGAGTGGTGAGTGAGCGAGTGGTGAGTGAGTGGTGAGCGAGTCAGAGGGGCAGGCAGTGGGGACCTTGTTGGTGTTGCTGTCTTACACAAAGTCTCCGTTGACCTCCTGGAGTGAGCGAGTGGTGAGCGAGTGAGTGGTGAGCGAGTGGTGAGCGAGTGGTGAGTGAGCGGTGAGCGAGTCAGAGGGACAGGCAGTGGGGACCTTGTTGGTGTTGCTGTCTTGCACAAAGTCTCCATTGACCTCCTGGAGTGAGTGAGCGAGCGAGTGAGTGAGTGAGTCAGTGAGTGGTGAGCGAGTGAGAGAGTGAGCGAGTGGTGAGCGAGTGGTGAGCGAGTGGTGAGCGAGCCAGAGGGGCAGGCAGTGGGGACCTTGTTGGTGTTGCTGTCTTGCACAAAGTCTCCGTTGACCTCCTGGAGGATGTCCGGGCACAGGATGAGGAGGACGATCTGCAGGGGCCACACGGCCGCCTTGCGTTTTGGGCTCTCGGCAAACGCGTCCACCAGGTCAAAGAGCTTCTGGGCACTCTCTAGAGAGACACGGAGACAGAGACACAGAGACACAGAGAGGGAGACAGAGACACAGAGCGAGACACAGAGAGACAGAGACGGTGAGAGAGACACGGAGAGACAGAGAGAGAGACAGAGAGACGGTGAGACAGAGACGGTGAGAGAGAGACAGAGAGACAGAGAGACAGACAGAGACACAGAGAGACAGAGAGACAGAGAGACAGGATGAGGAGGACGATCTGCAGGGGCCACACGGCCGCCTTGCGTTTCGGGCTCTCAGCAAACGCGTCCACCAGGTCAAAGAGCTTCTGGGCACTCTCTAGAGAGACACGGAGACACAGAGAGAGACACACAGAGAGACAGAGACGGTGAGAGAGACACGGAGAGACAGAGAGAGAGACAGAGAGACAGAGAGAGATAGAGACGGTGAGAGAGAGAGACAGAGAGACAGAGACACAGTGAGAGAGACAGAGAGACACAGAGAGAGAGACAGTGAGAGAGAGACAGAGAGACACAGAGAGAGAGACAGTGAGAGAGAGACAGAGACACAGTGAGAGAGACAGAGAGACAGAGAGAGACGGAGTGAGACAGAGAGAGAGACAGAGACGGTGAGAGAGAGACAGAGAGACAGAGACAGACAGAGACACAGTGAGAGAGACACAGACAGAGAGAGACAGAGACGGTGAGAGAGAGACAGAGAGACAGACAGAGACACAGAGACACAGAGAGAGAGACACAGAGAGACAGAGACGGTGAGAGAGACACGGAGAGACAGAGAGAGAGACAGAGAGACGGTGAGACAGAGACGGTGAGAGAGAGACAGAGAGACAGAGAGAGAGACAGAGAGACGGTGAGACAGAGACGGTGAGAGAGAGACAGACTCTCGGCAAACGCGTCCACCAGGTCAAAGAGCTTCTGGGCACTCTCTAGAGAGACACGGAGACAGAGACACAGAGACACAGAGAGAGAGACAGAGACAGAGACACAGACAGAGAGACACGGAGACAGAGACGGTGAGAGAGAGACAGACTCTCGGCAAACGCGTCCACCAGGTCAAAGAGCTTCTGGGCACTCTCTAGAGAGACACGGAGACAGAGACACAGAGACAGAGAGACAGAGACACGGTGAGAGAGAGACAGAGACACAGAGACACAAGAGAGAGAGACAGAGACACAGAGAGAGAGACAGAGACGGTGAGACAGAGACGGTGAGACAGAGACAGAGACACAGACACAGAGAGCCAGAGAGAGACACAGAGAGACAGAGACACAGAGAGACAGACAGAGAGAGACAGAGAGACATAGACGGTGAGAGAGAGACAGACAGAGACACAGAGAGAGACAGACAGAGAGACAGAGACGGTGAGAGACAGAGAGACAGACAGAGACAGAAACACAGAGAGAGACAGAGGGACAGAGAAGGTGAGAGAGAGACAGAGAGACAGCAAGACAGAGAGAGACAGAGAGACAGAGACACAGAGAGAGAGACACGGAGAGAGAGAGAGAAACAGAGAGACAGAGGGACAGAGAGACAGAGAGACACAGAGAGACACAGAGAGAGACAAAGACGGTGAGAGAGAGACAGAGAGAGACAGAGAGACACACAGACAGAGAGAGACAGAGAGACAGACAGAGACACAGACAGAGAGACAGAGAAGGTGAGAGAGAGACAGAGAGACAGAGAGAGAGACAGGGACACAGAGAGACAGAGAGACAGAAAGACACACAGACAGAGAGAGACAGACAGAGACACAGACAGAGAGACAGAGAGAGAGAGACGGTGAGAGAGAGACAGAGAGACAGAGACACAGAGAGAGACAGAGAGACAGACAGAGAGAGAGAGGGACAGACAGAGAGACAGAGACACAGACAGAGAAAGATACAGAAACACAGAGAGAGACAGTGAGAGACAAAGAGACAGAGATGGTGAGAGAGAGACAGAGACACAGAGAGAGACAGAGAGACTGAGAGACGGTAAGAGAGAGACAGAGAGAGAGACAGGGACACAGAGAGACAGAGAGATAGAAAGACACACAGACAGAGAGAGACAGACAGAGACACAGAGAGAGACAGAGAGACAGACAGAGAGAGAGGGACAGACAGAGAGACAGAGACACAGACAGAGAGAGAGACAGAGACACAGAGAGAGACAGAGACACAGAGACGGTGAGAGAGAGACAGAGGTACAGAGAGACAGAGAGAGACACGGAGACAGACACGGAGAGAGAGACAGAGGGACAGAGAGACAGAGAGAGTGGTGGTGGTTGTTGTGGTAGTGGTGGTTGTGGTAGTTGTGGTGGCAGTTGTGGTGGTGGTAGTGGTGGCGGTTGTGGTGGTGGTTGTGGTGGTGGTAGTGGTGATTGTGGTGGTGGTGGTGGCTGTGGTGGTTGTGGTGGTGGTGGCAGTGGTGGTGGTAGTGGTTGTGGTGATTGTGGTGGTGGTTGTGGTGATTGTGGTGGTAGTTGTGGTGATTGTGGTGGTGGTTGTGGTGATTGTGGTGGTGGTTGTGGTGATTATGGTGGTGGTTGTGGTGATTGTGGTGGTGGTTGTGGTGATTGTGGTGGTTGTGGTGGTGGTTGTGGTGGTGGTAGTGGTGGTGGTAGTGGTTGTGGTGATTGTGGTGGTGGTTGTGGCGATTGTGGTGGTGGTTGTGGTGATTGTGGTGGTGGTTGTGGTGGTGGTTGTGGTGATTGTGGTGGTTGTGGTGGTTGTGGTAGTTGTGGTGGTTGTGGTTGTTGTGGTGGTTGTGGATGTGGTGATTGTGGTGGTGGTTGTGGTGGTAGTGGTGGTGGTAGTGGTGGTGGTAGTGGTGGTGGTAGTGGTGGTTGTGGTGGTGGTAGTGGTGGTAGTGGTTGTGGTGGTAGTGGTGGTGGTAGTGGTGGTTGTGGTGGTGGTTGTGGTGGTTGTGGTGGTTGTGGTGGTTGTGGTTTTACCCGCAAGCTCCGGCTGGGGTCTCTGGTAGAGGTTGGTGAACTCATCAGCGTGGTTCTCCACCCACACCCAGAACACCTGCAGCACACACACACTCACCACTTACTCACCACTTACTCACCACTTACTCACCACACACTCACCACTTACTCACCACTTACTCACCACACACTCACCACACACCACACACTCACCACTTACTCACCACTTACTCACCACTTACTCACCACTCACTCACCACTTAGTCACCACTCACTCACCACTCACTCACTCAACACACACTCACCACTCACTCACCACTCACTCACTTACCACTTACTCACTCACTCACCACTCATACTCACCACACTCACTCAACCACTCACCCAACCACACTCACCACACTCACCCAACCACACTCACCACACTCACTCAACTACACTCACCACACTCACTCAACTACACTCACCACACTCACTCACCACACTCACTCAACCACACTCACTCACCACACTCACTCAACCACACTCACTCACCACACTCACTCAACCACACTCACCACACTCACCACACTCACCACACTCACTCACCACACTCACTCACCACACTCACTCAACCACACTCACTCAACCACACTCACTCAGCACACTCAACCACAATCACTCACCACACTCACCACACTCACTCAACCACACTCACCACACTCACTCAACCACACTCACCACACTCACTCAACCACACTCACCACACTCACCACACTCACTCACCACACTCACTCAACCACACTCACTCACCACACTCAACCACACTCACTCACCACACTCACTCACCACACTCACTCAACCACACTCACCACACTCACCCAACCACACTCACCACTCACCACACTCACTCACAACACTCACTCAACCACACTCACCACACTCACCCAACCACACTCACCACACTCACCACACTCACTCAACCACACTCACTCACCACACTCAACCACACTCACTCACCACACTCACTCACCACACTCACTCACCACACTCACTCACCACACTCACTCAACCACACTCACCACACTCACTCACACTCACTCACCACACTCAACCACACTCACTCACCACACTCACCACACTCACTCACCACACTCACCACACTCACTCAACCACACTCACTCACCACACTCAACCACACTCACTCACCACACTCACTCACCACACTCACCACACTCACTCACCACACTCACCACACTCACTCAACCACACTCACCACACTCAACCACACTCACTCACCACACTCACCACACTCACTCAACCACACTCACCACACTCACTCACACTCACTCACCACACTCAATCAACCACACTCACCACACTCACTCAACCACACAGAGTACACTCACCACACTACGCTCATCACAGTACGCTCACCGCAGTACGCTCAGCACAGCATGCTCACCACAGTACGCTCACCACAGCACGCTCACCACAGTACGCTCACCACACTACGCTCACCACAGCACGCTCACCACAGTACGCTCACCACAGTACGCTCACCACAGTACGCTCACCACAGTACGCTCACCACAGTACGCTCACCACAGTACGCTCACCACAGTACGCTCACCACAGTACGCTCACCACAGTACGCTCACCACAGCACGCTCACCACAGTACGCTCACCACAGTACGCTCACCACAGTACGCTCACCTTCTCCAGGCTGGTGATCACCGCCAGCTGAGCCACCTTCCTCAGGGCTTTGAACTTCAGCACGGTCTCTGTACGCAGCACAAGCGGGGAGTGGTGGTGGTGGTGGTGGTTAGCTGCCTGTGTGTGTCTGTGTGTGCTGTGTGTGTGTGTACTGTGTGTGTTACTGTGTGTGTGTGGTGTGTGTGTGTGTGTACTGTGTGTGTGCGCTGTGGTGTGTGTGTGTGTACTGTGTGTGTTACTGTGTGTGTTACTGTGTGTGTGTGGTGTGTGTGTGTACTGTGTGTGTGTGCTGTGTGTGTGTGCTGTGTGTGTGTGTGCTGTGTGTGTGTGTACTGTGTGTGTGTGCTGTGTGTGCTGTGTGTGTGTGCTGTGTGTGTGTGCTGTGTGTGCTGTGTGTGTATGTGTGCTGTGTGTGTGCTGTGTGTGTGTGTGCGCTGTGTGTGTGTGTACTGTGTGTGTGTGTAATGTGTGTGTGCTGTGTGTGTGCTGTGTGTGTGCTGTGTGTGTGTGCTGTGTGTGTGTGCTGTGTGTGTGTGGTGTGTGTGTGTGTACTGTGTGTGTGTGCTGTGTGTGTGTGCTGTGTGTGTGTGGTGTGTGTGTGTGTACTGTGTGTGTGTGCTGTGTGTGTGTGCTGTGTGTGTGTGTGCGCTGTGTGTGTGTGCTGTGTGTGTACTGTGTGTGTGTGCTGCGTGTGTGTGCTGTGTGTGTGTGTGTCTGTGTGTGCTGTGTGTGTGTGTACTGTGTGTGTGCTGTGTGTACTGTATGTGTGTGTGCTGTGTGTGCTGTGTGTGTGCTGTGTGTGTGTGTGCTGTGTGTGTGTGCTGTGTGTGTGTGCTGTGTGTGTGTGTGCTGTGTGTGTGTACTGTGTGTGTGTGCTGTGTGTGTGTACTGTGTGTGTGTGTGCTGTGTGTGTGTGTAATGTGTGTGTGCTGTGTGTGTGTGCTGTGTGTGTGTACTGTGTGTGTGTGTGTGCTGTGTGTGTGCTGTGTGTGTGTGTGTGTGCTGTGTGTGTGTGTGCTGTGTGTGTGTGTGCTGTGTGTGCTGTGTGTGTGCTGTGTGTGTGTGTGCTGTGTGTGTGTGTGCTGTGTGTGTGTGTGTGCTGTGTGTGTGTGTGTGCTGTGTGTGTGCTGTGTGTGCTGTGTGTGTGTGCTGTGTGTGTGTGCTGTGTGTGTGTACTGTGTGTGTGTGTACTGTGTGTGTGCTGTGTGCTGTGTGTGTGTTGTGTGTGCTGTGTGTGCTGTGTGTGTGTGGTGTGTGTGTGTGTGCTGTGTGTGTGCTGTGTGTGTGTGTGCTGTGTGTGTGCTGTGTGTGTGTGCTGTGTGTGCGTGCTGTGTGTGTGTGTGTGCTGTGTGTGTGTGTGTGCTGTGTGTGTGCTGTGTGTGTGTGCTGTGTGTGTGTGTGCTGTGTGTGTGTACTGTGTTGTGTGTGTGTGTGCTGTGTGTGTGTACTGTGTTGTGTGTGTGTGTGCTGTGTGTGTGTGCGGTGTGTGTGTGTGTGCTGTGTGTGTGTGTGCTGTGTGTGTGTGCTGTGTGTGTGTGTGCTGTGTGTGTGTGTGTGCTGTGTGTGTGTGCTGTGTGTGTGTGTGTGCTGTGTGTGTGTGGTGTGTGTGTGTGTGCTGTGTGTGTGCTGTGTGTGTGCTGTGTGTGTGTGCTGTGTGTGCTGTGTGTGTGTGCTATGTGTACTGTGTGCTGTGTGTGTGTGTGCTGTGTGTGTGTGCTGTGTGTGTGTGTGCTGTGTGTGCTGTGTGTGTGTGTGCTGTGTGTACTGTGTGTGTGTGTGCTGTGTGTGTGTGCTGTGTGTGTGTGCTGTGTGTGTGTGCTGTGTGTGTGCTGTGTGTGTGTGCTGTGTGTGTGTACTGTGTGTGTGTGCTGTGTGTGTGTACTGTGTGTGTGCTGTGTGCTGTGTGTGTGCTGTGTGTGTGTGTGCTGTGTGTGTGTGCTGTGTGTGTGTGTGCTGTGTGTGCTGTGTGTGTGTGTGTCTGTGTGTGTGGTGTGTGTGTGCTGTGTGTGTGTCCTGTGTGTGTGTGTGTGCTGTGTGTGTGTGTGCTGTGTGTGTCTGTGTGTGTGGTGTGTGTGTGTGTGCTGTGTGTATGTGTGTACTGTGTGCTGTGTGTGTGTGTGCTGTGTGTGTGTGCTGTGTGTGTGTGTGCTGTGTGTGTGTGCTGTGTGTGTGTGCTGTGTGTGTGTGCTGTGTGCGTGTGTGTGCTGTGTGTGTGCTGTGTGTGTGTGCTGTGTGTGTGCTGTGTGTGTGTGTGTGTGCTGTGTGTGTGTGCTGTGTGTGTGTGTGTGCTGTGTGTGTGCTGTGTGTGTGCTGTGTGTGTGTGCTGTGTGTGTGTGCTGTGTGTGTGTGTGTGCTGTGTGTGTGTGTGTGCTGTGTGTGTGTGTGCTGTGTGTGTGCTGTGTGTGTGCTGTGTGTGTGTGCTGTGTGTGTGTGTGTGCTGTGTGTGTGTGCTGTGTGTGTACTGTGTGTGTGTACTGTGTTGTGTGTGTGTGTGTGCTGTGTGTGTGTGCTGTGTGTGTGTGCTGTGTGTGTACTGTGTGTGTGTACTGTGTTGTGTGTGTGTGTGTGCTGTGTGTGTGTGCTGTGTGTGTGTGCTGTGTGTGTGCTGTGTGTGTGTACTGTGTTGTGTGTGTGTGTGTGCTGTGTGTGTGTGCTGTGTGTGTGTGCTGTGTGTGTGTGCTGTGTGTGTGCTGTGTGTGTGTGCTGTGTGCTGTGTGTGTGTGCTGTGTGTGTGCTGTGTGTGTGCTGTGTGTGCTGCACCGTGCAGCAGCCTCTTGAGGCGAGTGCAGTTGACGTTGATGTGCTGAATGAGTTCAATGTCGTTCACATCGGCTGCGTCGTCTGTGCAGTTGGTGAGCTCCTGCAGCCTGAATCACACACACACACACACGGTGTGACACACACACACACACACGGTGTGACACACACACACACGGTGTGACACACACACAGGGTGTGACACACACACACACACGGTGTAAACAAACACGCACACACACAGGGTGTCACACACACACGGTGTGACACACACACACACACACGGTGTGACACACACACACACACACACGGTGTGACACACACACACATGGTGTGACACACACACACAGGGTGTGACACACACACACACACACGGTGTGACACACACGCACACACACGGTGTGACACACACACACACACGGTGTGACACACACACACACGGTGTGACACACACACACACGGTGTGACACACACACACACGGTGTGACACACACACACACACACGGTGTGACACACACACACACGGTGTGACACACACACACACACGGTGTGACACACACACACACACGGTGTGACACACACACACGGTGTGACACACACACACACACACGGTGTGACACACACACACACGGTGTGACACACACACACGGTGTGACACACACACACACGGTGTGACACACACACACACACGGTGTGACACACACACACACGGTGTGACACACACACACACGGTGTGACACACACACACACACGGTGTGACACACACACACACGGTGTGACACACACACACACGGTGTGACACACACACACACACACGGTGTGACACACACACACACACGGTGTGACACACACACACACGATGTGACACACACACACACACGGTGTGACACACACACACACGGTGTGACACACACACACACACACGGTGTGACACACACACACACGGTGTGACACACACACACAACAACAACCGCCATTCGCCACTAAGTGGCGGTGACGTCAACCACGACGCTTGTGCCAGGCTATGTGCACCCTGAGGCCACGTGAAGTGTCGAACACCCGCTGGCAGGAGGTCACGGGGCAGACCCAGGTGCCACGGGTCGACTGACTGAGATGACTGGCTGATGCACGACCTGTGCCCCCTACTGTGCCAACCTGCTGTGCTTTAGTCACCCGGCGCTCCGCTCGTTGTTCTGAGCGTCGCTCCTCCGCCCTCCGTTGTTGTTGGAGGGCGACTGCCTCCAACTGCCCAGTAGCGTCCTTCACGAGCCTCCTCCACAGAGACCGATCTTGACACCGCTGGTACCAGTCATCGGCAAGTCCACTCAGCTCCACGTCCTCCTGTACCACATCACTCCATCTCTTCTCTAGCCCGTGTCGCGCCCGCTTAGCCCCCTCAATCCGGCCGAACAAAAGCTGTTTCGGCATGCGTTGGCTGGGTATGCGGGCTACATGACCCAGCCATCGTAGCCTTGCCCGCCGGAGGAGCTCACCGATGGGACCTTGCCCAGATCTTTCAAGGATTTGTGAGCTCCTCACACAATCCAGTCTGGTTAAACCCAGGATGGATCGTAGGCAGGCTAGCCTAAATGTTTCTAACCGGCGAAGATGTTCCATTAGGGGGGTCCACGTTTCGCAAGCGTAGAGAAGGGAGGGAATGACCGTGGCCGAGAAGACCTGAAGCTTAGTGCGGAGCGACAGACCGGGTAACTTCCACACAGCGTTACGCAACCGATGAAAAGATATTGCCGCTCGACTGATTCGGAGTGAGACGTCTGCTGTTAAACTGGAGCCAGTCATAAGCACACTGCCCAGGTATGGGAAACTCTCCACTCTCTCCACAACTGCCCCATCACCGATTGGGAGTTGTGGGGGTGGAGTGTCCAATGGTACAAAATACCCAGGCAGGTGCTTAGTTTTGGTGGGGCTGATGGTAAGGCCCCACCTCTTAGTGGCACGCTCCAGTCTCAGCAGCAGCGTCTCCAACTCCTCCTCTGACTGAGCAGCTATTACCAAATCATCAGCATACATAACGTGGTTGAGCAATAGGGAGCCATCCCTTGACCGCACCCGGGCATCGATCAGCCTCCCATTATATCTGTACCATATGGAGATTTCCCCGGTACAGCTATTGAAGGCTTCACGAATTACGTGGTCAAAATAGATGTTAAATAATGTGGGAGCCAGAGGACATCCCTGTCGCACCCCAAGGTGTACAGGGAATGGCTCTGACTCCCGGCCACGTAGTTTTACCCGGGCCCGCTCACCATCATGAAGGTCCTTAATGATCGTGAGCAGAGGGTCAGGTACTCCAAAAGCACGAAGAACAACCCAGAGCCCAGGCCTACTGATGGTATCATAGGCCTTGACCAGGTCAATAAAGCAGAGACGTAGGTCTTGTTGGAATTCCCTACACCTCTGCTGTAGCAGACGGACAGAAAATATGGCATCTGTGCAGGACCACCCCCTCCTGAAACTGCACTGGGGCTCCGCAAGCCTCTCCTCAGCGTGCCTGGCAAGGCGATGCTGAATAATCCTTGCCAGGACCTTTCCCGGCACACTGTGGAGTGAGATGCCCCTGCAGCTGTGCGGTCCCCCCTCTTAAAAAGGGGGACCACCAGGGCATCCTTCCAATCCTGCGGAACCCGTCCAGCGGTCCGGACTGTTGTTATGATGTCATATAGGGCAGTCTGTGCACAAACGCCACCCTCCCTCAGCATTTCGCTTGGGAGATCATCTCTGCCCGCTGCCTTTCCTGGTCTCAGACTCCGGATCGCCTTCAGTACTTCCTCAGCAGATGGCACTTCAGCCAGCCACTCACAGGGGGTGACTTCTTCCAATATTTGAGGCACCGCAGACTCAGCAGGGTCATCCTCACTTTGTGCCACGATGTTTTCCTGGCTGAGGGATTTTCCCTCCCCCAGGACCTCACAGAAATGCTCAGCAAATCTGCAAACCTGTTCCTGGGGGTCGGAGATTGGATCACCGTTTTTTCCCCTAATGATGGATATAGGTGTGGCGCTGCAGGTTACTTTTTTGAAGGAGTTAAATAGAGATTTGTGATCACGGGCCACTGAGGCAGACTCCATCTCCTCAGCAACCCGCGACCACCACCCATCCTTGCAGCGCCTCACGGCTCTCCGAACCTCCGAGCGAAGGCTGCGGTAAGCCTCCTCATTCTCTGACGTGGGATTCTGTAGCCGATGACAGTGGGCCTGTCGCTTTTTCTCAGCCATCCTGAACACCTCCTCTGTCAGCCAGGGTCTCTGGGGAGGTCTGGACCGCGTACCTAAAGCAGCCATTGCAGCTGCATGAGTCACAGTCCTAAACCTCGCCCATTTACCCTCGACATCAGGAGGAGTTGGGGACGATGCAAATCCCAGCCGCAAGCGATGATGAAATTCTCGCTTGCAACTTTCATCAGATAACTGAGACCAGGCAACTTTAGGTCGGAATGGGGTCCTGGGTGTACACCCACCACCGGAGTGGAAGAATGGCAGGCGCATCTTACAGATGACTAGTCGATGGTCAGAGGGCAGATCAGCTCCACGGTAGGTCCTGGTGTCAAGGACATGGGCTCGCATCCGCTGGTCCGTCACTATGTAGTCCAGCAGATGTTCTTGCTTGGACCCGGCATGCATCCATGATGTTGTGTGGATGCGCCGATGCCGGAACAGCGTGTTGGTAATTACAAGCCCATGGGCTGCACAAAAAGCTAGCAGGCTCCTACCGTTGTTATTGAGCTGATCTGGCCCATGCCCCCCAATCACTCCAGACCAGGTGCCAGTATCATGACCAACTCGGGCATTGAAGTCACCCAACATGATGACTCTATCCCAAGGGGCCACTTTAGCCAGCACCTGTGACAGGAGGTCATAGAAGGCATCTGACTCATCGGCTTTGCCTGCATCCCTCCACGGATGTTCATCTTCGGTGGCGGCATAAGTAACCACGACCACCATTCCTCGCCTCCGGTTGATGGGAAGGCGAGCCCAAAGTAGCCTGGGGCTTACAGCTTCCCACACCTCACCGCCACGCTCCCACGCCCCCTTCATTCTTTTGTTCAAAAGAAGACCCACACCCTGTTGTTTGGCAGTCTGCTGCCCCGAGTAGAGGACTGTCCACCCCTCATGGTGGTAGGAGCCAGAGCCGGTCCACCGGACCTCCTGAATGCCGCATAGATCCAGGCGGTACCGGTCCAGCTCCCGACAGAGGAGTGGCAGCCTCTCCTCTGCAGTGAGCGTTCGAACATTCCACGTGGCCACCCGTAGTGGCTTTTCGTTGTTTCTGGAGGAGCCCCGAGGGTAGGCATTCAATCTCCTGGCTCCGCCAATTGGGGTTTCGCCAGGAGACGTCATAGACGCCTGGCCCCCCGGGGCCTCCGGCACAAGCTTAGTTGTTACATATTTCAGTTTAATTCGTGGTTTCGTGGTAATTAATTGAAGGTGAGGGGTTACCAGCCCCTTGCACCCGTCCAGAGCCCCCGTTTAGCCCCTGTGGTGGACACAGACGCCATGAGGGGAGGAGCCAATCAAAATTGGATCTCCCCCCACAGCACTGTCCACGACAGAGTTGCCCGTCCGGCACCGCGAGGAGGTAAGGGGTTGTTTTGCGTGTGTGCGTGTGTCACACCGTGTGTGCATACACATGCACACACGGTGTGACACACGCACACACACGGTGTGACGCACGCCCCCTTGATCCGGCTGAACAAAAGCTTTATAGGCATGCGGTGGCTGGCCATGCGGGCTATGTGACCCAGCCAACGCAGCCTTGCCTGCTGGAGCTCACCGATGGGACCTTGCCCAGATCTTTCTAGGATTTGTGAGCTCATCACACAATCCAGCCTGGTTAAACTCAGGAAGGATCGTAGGCAGGCTAGCCTAAATGTTTCCAACCGGCGAAGATGTTCCATTAGGGGGGTCCATGTTTCGCAAGTGTAGAGAAAGGAGGGAATGACCGTGGCCGAGAAGACCTGAAGCTTCGTGCGGAGCGACAGACCAGGTAGCTTCCACACAGCGTTGCGCAACCGATGAAAAGATATTGCCGCTCGATTGATTCGGAGTGAGACCTCTGTCAAACCAGAGCCGGTCATGAGCACACTGCCCAGGTATGGGAAACACTCCACTCTCTCCACAACTGCCCCATCACCGATTGGGAGTTGTGGGGGTGGAGTGCCCGATGGTACAAAATAACCAGGCAGGTGCTTAGTTTTGGTGGGGCTGATGGTAAGGCCCCACCTCTGAGTAGAGGTGGGGCAGCGCCTCCAACTCCTCCTCTGAATGAGTCGCAATTACCAGATCATCGGCATACATAACGTGGTTGAGCAATAGGGAGCCATTCCTTGACCACACCCGGGCATCAATCAGCCTCCCATTGTATCCGTACCAGATGGAAATTCCTCCGGTACAGCCAGCAAAGGCTTCACGAACTACGTGGTCAAAATAGATGTGAAATAATTTTGGAGCCAGAGGACATCCCTGTCACACCCCAAGGTGAACAGGGAATGGCTCTGACTCCCGGCCATGTAGTTTTACCCGGGCCGGCTCACCATCATGAAGGTCCTTAATGATCGTGAGCAGAGGGTCAGGGACTCCAAAAGCACGAAGAACAACCCAGAGCCCAGGCCTACTGATGATATCATAGGCCTTGACCAGGTCAATAAAGCAGAGATGTAGGTCTTGTTGGAATTCCCTACACTTCTGCTGTAGCAGACGGACAGAAAATATGGCATCTGTGCAGGACCGCCCTTTCCTGAAACCGCATTGGGGCTCCACAAGCCTCTCCTCAGCTTGCCTGACAAGGCAATGTTAAATAATCCTTGCCAGGACCTTTCCCGGCATGAGATGCCACTGTAGTTGTTACAGTCTGTGCGGTCCCCCTTCTTAAGAGGGGGACCACCAGGGCATCCTTCCAATCCTGCGGAACCTGTCCAGTGGTCCAGACTGTTGTTATGATGTCATATAGGGCAGTCTGTGCACAAACGCCACCCTCCCTCAGCATTTTGCTTGAGCGATCATTTCTGCCCGGTGCCTTTCCTGGTCTCAGACTCTGGATCGCCTTCAGTACTTCCTCAACAGATGGCACCTCAGCCAGCCACTCACAGGGGGTGACTTCTTCCAATATTTGAGGCACCGCAGCCTCAGCAGGGTCATCCCCACTTTGTGCCACGATGTTTTCCATGCCGAGGGATTTCCCCTCCCCCAGGACCTCACAGCAAATTTGTAAACCTGTTTCTGTGGGTCAGAGATTTGATTACCATTTTTTCCCCTAATGATGGTAATAGGTGTGGCGCTGCAGGTGAATAAATAGAGATTTGTGATCGCGGGCCACTGAGGCAGACTCCATCTCCTCAGCAACCCGCGACCACCACCCATCCTTGCAGGGCCTCACGGCTCTCCGAACCTCCAAGCGAAGGCTGCGGTAAGCCTCATTCTCTGGTGTGGGATGCTGTAGACGATTAGAGTGGGCCTGTCGCTTTTTCTCAGCCAGCCTGAACACCTCTGTCAGCCAGGATCTATGGGGAGGTCTGGACCGTGGACCCAAAGCAGCCATTGCAGCTGCATGAGTCACAGTCCTAAACCTCGCCCATTTACCCTCGACATCAGGAGGAGTGGGAGACAATGCCAACCCCAGCCACAAGCGATAATTAAATTCATGCATACAACTTCCATCAACTAGCTGAGACCAGGCCACTTTAGGTTGGAATGGGGTCCTGGGTGTACACCTACCACCGGAGTGGAAGAATGGCAGGCGCATCTTACAGATGACAAGTGGATGGTCAGTGGGCAGATCAGCTCCACGGTAGGTCCTGGTGTCAAGGACATGGGCTCGCATCCGCTGGTTCGTCACTACGTAGTCCAGCAGATGTTCTTGCTTGGACCCGGCATACATCCATGATGTTGTGTGGATGCGCCGATGCCGGAACAGCGTGTTGGTAATTACAAGCCCATGGGCTGCACAACAATCTAGCAGCCTCCTACCGTTGTTATTGAGCTGATCCGGCCCATGCCCTCCAATCACTCCAGACCAGGCGCCAGCATCATGACCAACTCGGGCATTAAAGTCACCCAACAAGATGACTATCCCGAGGTGCCACTTTAGTCAGCACCTGTGACAGGAGGTCATAGAAGGCATCTGACTCATCGGCTTTGCCTGCATCCCTCCACGGATGTTCGTCTTCGGTGGGGGCATAAGTAATCGCGACCACCACTCCTCGCCTCCGGTTGACGGGAAGGCGAGCCCAAAGTAGCCTGGGGCTTACAGCTTCCCACACCTCACCGCCACGCTCCCACGCCCCCTTCATTCTTTTGTTCAGAAGAAGACCCACACCCTGTTGTTTGGCAGTCTGCTGCCCCGAGTAGAGGACTGTCCACCCCTCATGGTGGCAGGAGCCAGAGCCGCTCCACCGGACCTCCTGAATGGCCCCGCGTGCCCCGCCCGCCCGCCCGCCCGCCCACCTGGTGGCCGTGCGGTTGAAGACGGCGTTGAAGTTGTTGCACGAGAGGCAGAAGAGGACCTTGGATGCCGAGGAGCGCAGCTGGGCGGCCAGAGCCGGCCCCGAGATGGCGGCGCCGCCCCCGCCGACGCCGCCGCCGCCGCCGCCGCAGCCGCCACCGCCGCCGCAGCCTCCGCCGCCTCCCCCTCCTCCGCCTCCTCCGCCCCCTCCGCCCCCTCCGCCGCCGGCTCCGGCGACGGCTCCGGCAGCGCCCGAGCCGCCGCCTCCGCCGCCGCCGGAGCCGCCGGAGCCTCCGCCGGAGCCGCCGCCGCCGCCGCCGCCGGAGCCGCCGGAGCCTCCGCCGGAGCCGCCGGAGCCGCGGCCGGAGCCGCCGCCGGAGCCGCCGCCGGAGCCGCCGCCGCCGGAGCCGTCGCGCGGCTGGTGGATGAAGAGGCAGATCTCGGGCAGTAGCTGCTTCACCAGCATCGACTCGTCCAGACGCGACGTGTCCTTGGGCTGCTGCTCACGCCGACACACCGGCACACGGACGCACGGACGGACGCACGGAGAGACACACAGATGGACACACACACGGACACATGGATGGACGCACGGACACACGGACGGACAGACACACAGATGGACACACGGACACACGGATGGACGCACGGACACACGGACGGACACACACACAGATGGACACACACACGGACGGACAGACACACAGATGGACACATGGACACACAGATGTAGACACCGGCACACGGATGGACACACGGACACACAGACACACAGATGGGCACACGGACACACCGACACACGGACGGACACACACACAGATGGACACACACACGGACACACAGACACACAGATGGACACACGGACACACAGATGTACACAACGGCACACGGATGGACACACGGACACACGGACGGACACACACACGGACACACAGACACACAGATGGACACACAGACACACCGACACACCGACACACGGACACACGGACACACCGACACACAGACACACGGACACACAGACACACAGATGGACACACGGACACACAGATGTACACACCGGCACACGGATGGACACACGGACACACGGACGGACACACACACGGACACACAGACACACAGATGGACACACAGACACACCGACACACGGACGGACACACACACGGACACACAGACACACAGATGGACACACGGACACACCAAGTGGGTGAGCGTGATGTTGGTGAGTGTGATGTTGGTGAGTGTGATGCTGGTGAGTGTGATGTTGGTGAGCGTGATGTTGGTGAGCGTGATGTTGGTGAGTGTGATGTGGGTGAGCGTGATATTGGTGAGCGTGATGTTGGTGAGTGTGATGTTGGTGAGTGTGATGTTGGTGAGTGTGATGTTGGTGAGCGTGGTGTGGTGAGCGTGATGTTGGTGAGTGTGATGTTGGTGAGCGTGATGTTGGTGAGTGTGATGTTGGTGAGTGACGGTGGTGAGCGTGATGTGGGTGAGTGTGATGTTGGTGAGTGTGATGTTGGTGAGTGTGATGTTGGTGAGTGTGATGTTGGTGAGTGTGATGTTGGTGAGTGTGGTGTTGGTGAGTGACGGTGGTGAGTGTGATGTTGGTGAGTGTGATGTTGGTGAGTGTGATGTTGGCGAGTGTGATGTTGGTGAGTGTGATGTTGGTGAGTGTGATGTTGGTGAGCGTGATGTTGGTGAGCGTGATGTTGGTGAGTGTGGTGTTGGTGAGTGACGGTGGTGAGTGTGATGTTGGTGAGTGTGATGTTGGTGAGTGTGATGTTGGTGAGTGTGATGTTGGTGAGTGTGATGTTGGTGAGTGTGATGTTGGTGAGTGACGGTGGTGAGCGTGATGTGGGTGAGTGTGATGTGGTGAGTGTGATGTGGGTGAGTGTGATGTTGGTGAGTGTGATGTGGGTGAGTGTGATGTTGGTGAGTGTGATGTTGGTGAGTGTGATGTTGGTGAGTGTGTGGTGAGTGACGGTGGTGAGCGTGATGTTGGTGAGTGTGTGGTGAGTGACGGTGTTGAGCGTGGTGTGGTGAGCGTGTGGTGAGTGACGGTGGTGAGCGTGGTGTGGTGAGCGTGGTGTGGTGAGTGACGGTGGTGAGCGTGGTGTGGTGAGTGTGATGTTGGTGAGCGTGGTGTTGGTGAGTGTGATGTGGGTGAGTGTGATGTTGGTGAGTGTGATGTTGGTGAGCGTGATGTGGTGAGTGACGGTGGTGAGCGTGGTGTGGTGAGCGTGGTGTGGTGAGTGACGGTGGTGAGTGTGATGTTGGTGAGTGACGGTGGTGAGTGACGGTGGTGAGTGACGGTGGTGAGCGTGGTGAATGACGGTGGTGAGTGACGGTGGTGAGTGACGGTGGTGAGCGTGGTGTGGTGAGCGTGGTGTGGTGAGTGACGGTGGTGAGTGACGGTGGTGAGTGACGGTGGTGAGCGTGGTGTGGTGAGCGTGATATTGGTGAGCGTGCCACTCACCCCTGCCAGACACTTCTCCAGCGTGTCCAGAATGATGAGCTGGGAGAGATGCAGATTCCGCTCCATCTCCACACTAGCATTGACATGTCGCTTGCCCTGCTCACCACCACACCACACGCTCACCACCGTCACTCACCACACCACACGCTCACCACACCACGCTCACCACCGTCACTCACCACACCACGCTCACCACCGTCACTCACCACACCACGCTCACCACACCACACTCCCCACATGCTCACCACACCACGCTCAACACCGTCACTCACCACACCACGCTCACCACCGTCACTCACCACACGCTCACCACCATCACTCACCACACACGCTCACCACCACCACTCACCACACGCTCACCACCCACACTCATCACACGCTCACCAACATCACTCACCACACGCTCACCACCACAATCACCCACCACACGCTCACCACAGTCACTCACCATCACACGCTCACCACCGTCACTCACCACACGCTCACCACCAGGGAGAAATTGTACTTGGACAGGTTGATGAGTGAGTGAGTGTGTGGGCGAGTGTGTGGGTGAGTGTGTGGGTGAGTGTGTGGGTGAGTGGGTGAGTGAGTGGGTGAGTGAATGATGTGACTGAGTTAATGTGTGAGTGTGTGAGTGTGTGTGCGAGTGTGTGAGTGAGTGAGTGATTGTGCGAGTGAGTGAGTGAGCGTGTTAGTGTGTGAGTGAGTGTGTGAGTGTGTGTGAGTGTGTGTGAGTGATTGTGCGAGTGAGTGAATGTGTGAGTGAATGTGTGAGTGATTGTGCGAGTGAGTGATTGTGCGAGTGAGTGAGTGAGTGTGTGAGTGTGTGAGTGAGTTTGTGTGAGTGTGTGTGAGTGATTGTGCGAGTGTGTGAGTGAGTGAGTAGGTGAGCGTGTGAGTGTGTGAGCGAGTGAGTAGGTGAGCGTATGAGTAGGTGAGCGTGTGAGTGTGTGAGTGAGTGTGTGAGTGTGTGTGAGTGTGTGTGAGTGATTGTGCGAGTGTGTGAGTGAGTGAGTAGGTGAGCGTGTGAGTGTGTGAGCATCTGAGTGTGTGAGCGAGTGAGTAGGTGAGCGTATGAGTAGGTGAGCGTGTGAGTAGGTGAGCGTGTGAGCGTGTGAGCGAGTGAGTAGGTGAGCGAGTGAGTAGGTGAGCGTGTGAGTAGGTGAGCGTGTGAGTAGGTGAGCGTATGAGTAGGTGAGCGTGTGAGTAGGTGAGCGTGTGAGTAGGTGAGCGTGTGAGCGTGTGAGCGAGTGAGTAGGTGAGCGAGTAGGTGAGCGAGTGAGTAGGTGAGCGTGTGAGCGTGTGAGCGTGTGAGCGAGTGAGTGAGCGAGTAGGTGAGCGAGTAGGTGAGCGTGCAAGTGTGTGAGTGAGTGAGTAGGTGAGCGTATGAGTAGGTGAGCGTGTGAGTAGGTGAGCGTGTGAGTAGGTGAGAGTGTGAGTAGGTGAGCGTGTGAGTGTGTGAGTGAGTGAGTAGGTGAGTGAGTAGGTGAGCGAGCGTGCCAGCCGGCGAGCTGGTGAGCGAGCGAGAGCTCCTCCTCACCAAGTTGTTGACGTTCTTGAGGATGGCGGTGAGTCCGCTCACCACCAGCGAGAACTTATACTTGGACAGGTTGATGAGTGAGTGAGTGGGTGGGTGAGTGAGTAGGTGAGCGTGTGAGCGAGTAAGTAGGTGAGCGTTTGAGCGAGTAGGTGAGCGTGTGAGTAGGTGAGCATGTGAGTGTGTGAGTGAGTGAGTAGGTGAGTGAGTAGGTGAGCGAGCGTGCCAGCCGGTGAGCTGGTGAGCGAGCGAGAGCTCCTCCTCACCAAGTTGTTGACGTTCTTGAGGATGGCGGTGAGTCCGCTCACCACCAGCGAGAACTTATACTTGGACAGGTTGATGAGACACTCCTTGTTGTGCTCCGTGCTCACTTTGCTGTGAGTGTTCTGGAGTCCCGCCTTGATGGGCAGCTGAGAGAGCGAGCGGATGGCCGTGTGAGTCACAATTCGAAGAACCGGCAAGCTCTTTGCGGTTCCAAGGGGTCTCTCGCACGCACGCGCACACGCACACACACACGCACACACGCACACACACACACAGACACACGTACACACAGACACACACGTACACACACACGTACACACACACGTACACACACACGCACACACACACGCACACACACACACACGCAGACACACACGTACACACACGTACACACACACGTACACACACACACGCACACACACACACACGCACACACACACAGACACACGTACACACAGACACACACACGTACACACACGTACACACACAGACACACGCACATACACACTCGCACACACTCACACACACTCATAAATATACACACAGACACACACGCACACACAGACACACGCACATACACACACGTACACACACAGACACACGCACATACACACTCGCACACACTCACTCATAAATATACACACACACACGTACATACACACGTAAACACACACACACCTACTCACACACATACATACTCACACTCACATACACACGCACATACACTCATAAATACACACACACACGTACATACACACCTACTCACACTCACATACACACGTAAACACACACACACACGTACATACACACCTACTCACACTCACATACACACGTAAACACACACACACGTACATACACATCTACTCACACACACGGACACACACACACGTAAACACACACACACCTACTCACACACATACATACTCACACTCACATACACACGTAAACACACACACACATGTACATACACACACAGCTACTCACACTCACATACACACGTAAATACACACAGGTACATACACGCGCACCTACACGAGCACATACACACTCGCACGCACTCACACACACTCATAAATACACACACACACGTACATACACACACTCACATACACACGTAAACACACACACACACATACTCACACTCACATACACATGCAAACACACACACACACGTACATACACATCTACTCACACACACGCATATAAATACGTAAACACACACACACGTACACACACACACCTACTCACACATACACACGTAAACACACACACACGTAAACACACACACACACACACACGTACATACACACACACCTACTCACACTCACATACACACGTAAACACACACACGCACTCACGTACATACACACACCTACTCACACACATACATACTCACACTCACATACACACGTAAATACACACACACAGACGTACATACACACACACCTATTCACGTATACACTCACACACACTCACATACACTCATAAATACACAACAACAACCGCCATTCGCCACTAAGTGGCGGTGACGTCACCACGACGCTTGTGCCAGGCTATGTGCACCTTGAGGCCACGTGGAGTGTCGAACGCCCGCTGGCAGGAGGTCACGGGGCAGACCCAGGTGCCACGGGTCGACTGACTGAGATGACTGGCTGATGCACCACCTGTGCCCCCTACTGTGCCAACCTGCTGAGTTTTAGCCACCCGGCGCTCCGCTCGTTGTTGTGAGCGTCGCTCCTCCGCCCTCCGTTGTTGTTGGAGGGCGACTGCCTCCAACTGCCCAGTAGCATCCTTCACGAGCCTCCTCCACAGAGGCCGATCTTGACACCGCTGGTACCGGTCATCGGCAAGTCCACTCAGCTCCACGTCCTCCTGTACCACATCACTCCATCTCTTCTCTAGCCCGTGCCGCGCCCGCTTAGCCCCCTCGATCCGGCCGAACAAAAGCTGTTGCGGCATGCGGTGGCTGGGCATGCGGGCTACATGACCCAGCCAACGCAGCCTTGCCTGCCGGAGGAGCTCACCAATGGGACCTTGCCCAGATCTTTCAAGGATTTGTGAGCTCCTCACACAATCCAGCCTGGTTAAACCCAGGATGGATCGTAGGCAGGCTAGCCTAAATGTTTCTCACTGGCGAAGATGTTCCATTAAGGGGGTTCACGTTTCGCAAGCGTAGATAAGGGAGGGAATGACCGTGGCCGAGAAGACCTGAAGCTTAGTGCGGAGCGACAGACCAGGTAGCTTCCACACAGCGTTACGCAACCGATGAAAAGATATTTGCCGCTCGACTGATTCGGAGACCTCTGCTGTTAAAGTCATAAGCACACTGCCCAGGTATGGGAAACTCTCCACTCTCTCCATAACTGCCCCATCACCGATTGGGAGTTGTGGGGGTGGAGTGTCCGATGGTACAAAATACCCAGGCAGGTGCTTAGTTTTGGTGGGGCTGATGGTAAGGCCCCACCTCTTAGTGGCACGCTCCAGTCTCAGCAGCAGCAGCGTCTCCAACTCCTCCTCTGAATAAGCAGCTATTATCAAATCATCAGCATACATAACGTGGTTGGCCAATAGGGAGCCATCCCTTGACCGCACCTGGGCATTGATCAGCCTTCCATTATATCTGTACCAAATGGAGATTCCCCCGGTACAGCTATTGAAGGCTTCACGAACTATTTGGTCAAAATAGATGTTAAATAATGTGGGAGCCAGAGGACATCCCTGTCGCACCCCAAGGTGTACAGGGAATGGCTCTGATTCCCGGCCACGTAGTTTTACCCGGGCCCGCTCACCATCATGAAGGTCCTTAATGATCGTGAGCAGGGGGTCAGGTACTCCAAAAGCACGAAGAACAACCCAGAGCCCAGGCCTACTGATGGTATCATAGGCCTTGACCAGGTCAATAAAGCAGAGATGTAGGTCTTGTTGGAATTCCCTACACCTCTGCTGTAGCAGACAAACAGAAAATATGGCATCTGTGCAGGACCGCCCTTTCCTGAAACCGCATTGGGGCTCCGCAAAGCTTCTCCTCAGCGTGCCTGGCAAGGTGATGTTGAATAATCCTTGCCAGGACCTTTCCCGGCACACTGAGGCGTGAGATGCCCCTGTAGTTGTTACAGTCTGTGCGGTCCCCCTTCTTGAAGAGGGGGACCACCAGCGCATCCTTCCAATCCTGCGGGACCCGTGGCTGGCTGAGGTGCCATCTGTTGATGAAGTACTGAAGGCGATCCGGAGTCTGAGACCAGGAAAGGCACCGGGTAGAGATGATCTCCCAAGCGAAATGCTGAGGGAGGGTGGCGTTTGTGCACAGACTGCCCTACATGACATCACAACAACAGTCTGGACCACTGGACGGGTTCAGTAACGCTGTGTGGAAGCTACCTGGTCTGTTGCTCCACACGAAGCTTCAGGTCTTCTCGGCCACGGTCATTCCCTCCCTTCTCCACGCTTGCGAAACGTGGACCCCCCTAATGGAACATCTTCGCCGGTTAGAAACATTTAGGCTGGCCTGCCTACGATCCATCATGGGTTTAACCAGACTGGATTGTGTCAGGAGCTCACAAATCCTTGAAAGATCTGGGCAAAGTCCCATTGGTGAGCTCCTTCGGCGGGCAAGGCTGCGTTGGCTGGGTCATGTAGCCCGCATGCCCAGCCACCGCATGCCGAAACAGCTTTTGTTCGGCCGGATCGAGGGGGCTAGACGGGCGCGGCACGGGCTAGAGAAGAGATGGAGTGGCGTGGTACAGGAGGACGTGGAGCTGAGTGGACTTGCCGATGACTGGTACCAGCGGTGTCAAGATCGGCCTCAGTGGAGGAGGCACGTGAAGGACGCTACTGGACAGTTGGAGGTAGTCGCCCTCCAACAACAACGGAGGGCGGAGGAGCGACGCTCACAACAACGATTGGAGCGCCGGATGACTAAAACGCAGCAGGTTGGCACAGTAGGGGGCACAGGTGGTGCATCAGCCAATCATCTCAGTCAGTCGACCCGTGGCACCTGGGTCTGCCCCGTGACCTCCTGCCAGCGGGCGTTCGACACTTCACGTGGCCTCAAGGTACACATGGCCTGGCACAAGCGTCGTGGTGACGTCACCGCCACTTAGTGGGGAATGGCTGTTGTTGTTATGTGTATGTGTGTGTATGTATGAGTGTGTATGTGTATGAGTGTGTGTATGTGTATGTATGTGTGGGGAGCGATAGTGTAGCAGTTAGCACGCTGCGCTATGAACCTGGCGACACGGGTTCGATTCCCGCTCACGGCCAACACCAATGACAATTATCTGAACCGGTCCCGGGCCTCCCCTAGGTCGACTCAGCCTCAAATGAGTACCTGGTGCGGTGTGTAAACATTGTCACGAGACACGAGACAAAGGCGGTCGGGCGTGGTGCTGGCCACCCACCCCCTCGTGTACCGTTCCGGCCTTCATAGGTGCTCGCTAACAGCACTTGTCCCTACAGTCTGTTAAGGCTATACGGGGGATCTTTGTGTACATGTGTGTGTGTATGTGTGTGTATGTGTATGAATGTGTGTGTATGTATGTATGTGTATGTGTGTATGTATGTGTGTATGTATGTGTATGTGTCACTGTGTGTGTATGTGTATGTATGTGTGTGTATGTGTGTGTATGTGTGTGTATGTGTGTATGTGTGTGTATGTGTGTGTGTCACTGTGTGTGTGTTTAGTTCAGGAAGTGGCCTTGTTTGTCCCCACATACGGAACCCATTACTGCGTTTCCCATTACAGCGCTCCTACTCGCACACAGTCTCACACAGCACAGTCACACACAGCACAGTCACACACACAGTCACACACACACAGTCACACACACAGTCACACACAGCACAGTCACACACACAGTCACACACAAAGACAAAGATCCCCCATATAGCCTTAACAGACTGTAGGGGCAAGTGCTGTTAGCGAGCACCTATGAAGGCCGGAACGGTACACGAGGGGGTGGGTGGCCAGCACCACGCCCGACCGCCTTTGTCTCCCTAGTGGCAATGTTTACACACCGCACCAGGTACTCATTTGAGGCTGAGTCGACCTAGGGGAGGCCCGGGACCGGTTCAGATAATCGTCACTGGTGTTGGCCGTGAGCGGGAATCGAACTCGTGTCGCCGGGTTCATAGCGCAGCGCGCTAACCGCTACACTATCGCTCCCCACTCAGTCACACACACACACAGTCTCACACACACAGTGACACACAGCACAGTCACACACACAGTCACACACAGTCACACACACACACAGTCACACACACAGTCTCACACACACAATCACACAGCACAGTCACACACACACACAGTCACACACACACAGTTACACACACACAGGCACACAGTCACACACACAGAGTCTCACACACAGTCACACTCACACAGTCACACACACACAGTCAGTCACACACACAGTCACACACACACACAGTCACACACACTCACAGTCACACACACAGACACACAGTGACACAAACAGCCACACACACACAGACACTCATACACACACACATGCTGATGATGATGTTGATTATTATACTGAGGATGATATTGATGCTGATGATGATGCTGATGATGCTGATTATACTGAAGATATTGATGCCGATGATGCTGATGATTATACTGAGGATGATGCTGATAATGCTGCTACCACTACTGCTGCTGATGCTACTGCTGATCATGATGCTGCTGATATGTTGCTGCTGCTGATCCTAATGCTGCTGATGCTGATGATAATCCTAACGCTGCTGCTGCTGATGATGCTGATCCTAATGCTGATGATGATGTTTCTGCTGCTGATGATGCTGATGACGTTTCTGCTGCTGATGATGCTGATGATGCTGCTGCTGATGACGATGCTGGTACTGATGCTGATGCTGCTGCTGCTGATGACGATGCTATTACTGATGACGATGCTGCTGATGATGATGCTGCTGCTGATGATGCTGCTGCTGATGATGACGATGCTGCTACTGATGCTGCTGCTGATGACGATGCTGCTACTAATGGTGCTGATGATGATGCTGATGATAATGCTGATGATGATGCTGCTCTTGCTGCTGCTCCTGCTGCTGCTCCTGTTGCTGATGATGATGCTGATGATGATGATGCTGATGCTGCCGCTGCTGATTATGCTGTTAATGCTGCTGCTGATGCTGCTGATGATAATGCTGCTGATGATGCTGCTGATGATGCTGCTGCTGATGCTGCTGATGATGATCCTGACACTGCTACTGATGACTGCTGCTGATGTTGCTGCTGATGATAACACTGCTACTGCTGATGATGTTGCTACTGATGACAATGCTACTGCTGCTGATGCTGCTGCTGATGCTGCTGCTGACACTACTACTGATGATGCTGCTGGTACTGATGATGCTGCTGCTGATGTTGCTGATGATGTTGTTGCTGCTGCTGATGATGCTGGTGATGATGCTGATGATGAATGACACTGCTACTGATGATGCTGATGATGATTCTGATGATGCTACTGATGATGATGCTGCTGCTGATGATGCTGCTGCTGATGCTGCTGATGATGATCCTGACACTGCTATTGATGACACTGCTGCTGATGTTGCTGTTGCTGATGATAACACTGCTACTGCTGATGATGCTGCTACTGATGACACTGCTGATGATAACACTGCTGATGATGTTGCTGCTGCTGCTACTACTGATGATAATGCTACTGCTGCTGATGCTGTTGATGATGATGATGCTGCTGACACTGCTACTGATGATGCTGCTGCTGTTGCTGATGACGCTGCTGCTGATGATGCTGGTGACGATGCTGATGGCTGGTGATGATGCTGATCATGCTGATGATGTTGATGCTGATGATGATGCTGATGATGATGCTGGTGATGAATGACACTGCTACTGATGACGCTGATGCTGATGATACTACTACTGATGACGCTGCTGATGATGATGCTACTGATGACGCTGCTGCTGATGCTGCTGCTGATGATACTGCTGATGATACTGATGATGCTAACGATGTTGATGATGCTGCTGATGATGTTGATGATGCTGCTGATGATGCTGCTGCTGATAATGATGCTGCTGCTGATAATGATGATGCTGCTGCTGATGTTGATGCTGCTGCTGATGATGATGCTGCTGCTGATGTTGATGCTGCTGCTGATGATACTGATGATGATGCTGCTGCTGATGATGTTGATGATGCTGATGATGTTGTTGATGTTCACTCACCTGCTCATCAAACCGCTGTATGACCGCGCTCACCCACTCGGTGGGTTTATGGGCCGCCATGGCAGCTGTCTTCCTCACCACCTCCTCACCACCTCGTCACCACCTCCTCACCACCTCCTCACCACCTCCTCACCACCTCGTCTTCCTCACCACCTCGTCTTCCTCACCACCTCCTCACCAACACCACCTCGTCTTCCTCACCACCTCGTCTTCCTCACCACCTCCTCACCAACACCACCTCGTCTTCCTCACCACCTCCTCACCAACACCACCTCGTCTTCCTCACCACCTCGTCTTCCTCACCACCTCCTCACCAACACCACCTCGTCTTCCTCACCACCTCGTCTTCCTCACCACCTCCTCACCACCTCGTCACCACCTCGTCTTCCTCACCACCTCCTCACCAACACCACCTCGTCTTCCTCACCAACACCACCTCGTCTTCCTCACCACCTCGTCTTCCTCACCACCTCCTCACCAACACCACCTCGTCTTCCTCACCACCTCCTCACCACCTCGTCACCACCTCGTCTTCCTCACCACCTCCTCACCAACACCACCTCGTCTTCCTCACCAACACCACCTCGTCTTCCTCACCAACACCACCTCGTCTTCCTCACCACCTCCTCACCAACACCAGCTCGTTTTCCTCACCACCAGCTCCTCGTCCTCACCACATCACCCCTCGTCACCTCACCCCCTCACCCCGTGTCTCCTCACCACGTCTCACCTCCTCACCCCTAGTCAGCTCGTCTCCTCACCCTCACCTCGTCACCTCACCCCCTAGCCACCTCGTCTCCTCACCCTCACCTCGTCACCTCCTCACCCCGAGCCACCTCGTCTCCTCACCCTCACCACCTCACCCTCGTCGTCTGCTCACCCTCACCACCTCGTCACGTCACCTCCTCACCCCCTAGCCACCTAGTCTCCTCACCCTCGTCGTCCCCTCACCCTCACCACCACCTCGTCTCCTCACCTCGTCACCTCCTCACCCCCTAGCCACCTAGTCTCCTCACCCTCGTCGTCCCCTCACCCTCACCACCACCTCACCACCACCTCACCACCACCTCGTCTCCTCACCTCGTCACCTCACCCCCTAGCCACCTAGTCTCCTCACCCTCACCACCACCTCGTCACCACCTCGTCTCCTCACCTCGTCTCCTCACCCCCTAGCCACCTAGTCTCCTCACCCTCGCCTCACCACCTCGTCTCCTCACCACCTCGTCTCCTCACCACCTCGTCACCTCCTCACCTCGTCTCCTCACCTCGTCACCTCGTCACCTCACCCCCTAGCCACCTAGTCTCCTCACCCTCGCCTCACCACCCACCTAGTCTCCTCACCACCCACCTAGTCTCCTCACCACCTCGTCTCCTCACCTCGTCACCTCACCACCTCGTCTCCTCACCACCTCGTCTCCTCACCTCGTCACCTCACCTCTCGCCTCCCCCACAGTGCCCGCCGCCATCACAAGGAGCCGCGGCGCCTGAGGCTCGCACTGCGCATGCGCGGGGGGTGGGGGGAGAGGTGGGGGGTGGTGGAAGGAGGGGGGGCAAGGGGGGGGGGCAGTTGAGGGGGAGTTGTGTGGGGGTGGAGGGGGAGCGGAAGTGGGCGGAGACAATGAGCGGAAGTGGGCGGAGACAATGAGCGGAGGTAAAGGGGCGGGGAGGGGCGAACAAATGGAGTGGGCGGAGAAAATGTCAGGGAGTGGGCGGAAACAATGTCAGGGAGTGGGCGTGGTTATGCTAATGATACGGCGGGGGAAGGGCCGTTACAACTTCATGGTGCTATGCTAATGCTGGGGGTTGGAGTTATGCTAATGGTAGGGATGGGGCTGTGCTAATGAAGGGGGATGGGGCTATGCTAATGAGGGGGGATGGACTATGCTAATGAGGTGAGATGGGGCTATGCTAATCAAGGGAGATCGGGCTATGCCAATTAGGGGAATCGGGCTATGCTAATGAGGAGGATGGGGCAATGCTAATGAGGGGGGATGGGGCTATGCTAATGAGGGGGGATGGGGCTATGCTAATGAGGGGGGATGGGGCTATGCTAATGAGGGGGGATGGGGCTATGCTAATGGCGGGGGGGCTATGCTAATGAGGGGGGATGGGGCCATGCTAATGAGGGGGATGGGACTATGCTAATGAGGAGGATGGGGCTATGCTAATGAGGGGGATGGGGCTATGCTAATGAGGGGGATGTGGCTATGCTGATGAGGGGGAGATGAGGCCATGCTAATGAGGGGGGATGGGACTATGCTAATGAGGAGGATGGGGCTATGCTAATGAGGGGGATGGGGCTATGCTAATGAAGGGGGATGGGCTATGCTAATGAGGGGGATGGGGCTATGCTAATGAGGGGGGATGTGGCTATGCTAATGAGGGGGGATGGGGCTATGCTGATGGCGGGGGGGGGGGGGCTATGCTAATGAGGGGGATGGGGCTATGCTAATGAGGGGGATGTGGCTATGCTAATGAGGGGGATGTGGCTATGCTGATGAGGGGGAGATGAGGCCATGCTAATGAGGGGGGATGGAACTATGCTAATGAGGAGGATGAGGCTATGCTAATGAGGGGGAAGGGGCAATGCTAATGAGGGGGATGGGGCTATGCTAATGAAGGGGGATGGGGCTATGCTAATGAGGAGGATGAGGCTATGCTAATGAGGGGGATGGGGCTATGCTAATGAAGGGGGATGGGCTATGCTAATGAGGGGGGTGGACTATGCTAATGAGGGGGATGGGGCTTTGCTGAGGGAGGATGGGCTATGCTAATGAGGGGGATGGGGCTATGCTAATGAGGGGGATGTGGCTATGCTGATGAGGGGGAGATGAGGCCATGCTAATGAGGGGGGATGGGGCTATGCTAATGAGGAGGATGGGGCTATGCTAATGAGGGGGAAGGGGCAATGCTAATGAGAAGGATGGGGCTATGCTAATGAAGGGGGATGGGCTATGCTAATGAGGGGGATGGGGCTTTGCTAAGGGAGGATGGTCTATGCTAATGAGGAATGGGCTATACTGAGGGGGGATGGGAAAAGCTAATGAGGAGGGATAGGCTATGCTAATGAGGGGGGTATGGGGCTATGGTAATGAAGGGGGATGGGCTATGCTAATGAGGAGAATGGGGCAATGATAATGAGGGGGGATGGGGCTATGCTAATGAGGGGGGATTGGGCTATGCTAATGAGGGGGGGATGGGGCTATGCTGATGAGGGGGAGATGAGGCCATGCTAATGAGGGGGGATGGGACTATGCCAATGAGGAGGATGGGGCTCTGCTAATGAGGGGGATGGGGCTATGCTAATGAGGGGAATGTGGCTATGCTGATGAGGGGGAGATGAGGCCATGCTAATGAGGGGGGATGGGACTATGCCAATGAGGAGGATGGGGCTATGCTAATGAGGGGGATGGGGCTATGCTAATGAGGGGAATGTGGCTATGCTGATGAGGGGGAGATGAGGCCATTCTAATGAGGGGGGATGGGACTATGCTAATGAGGAGGATGGGGCTATGCTAATGAGGGGGATGGGGCTATGCTAATGAAGGGGGATGGGCTATGCTAATGAGGGGGATGGGCTATGCTAATGAGGGGGGATGTGGCTATGCTGATGAGGGGGAGATGAGGCCATGCTAATGAGGGGGGATGGAACTATGCTAATGAGGAGGATGAGGCTATGCTAATGAGGGGGAAGGGGCAATGCTTATGAGGGGGATGGGGCTATGCTAATGAAGGGGGATGGGGCTATGCTAATGAGGAGGATGAGGCTATGCTAATGAGGGGGATGGGGCTATGCTAATGAAGGGAGATGGGCTATGCTAATGAGGGGGGGTGGACTATGCTAATGAGGGGGATGGGGCTTTGCTGAGGGAGGGTGGGCTATGCTAATGAGGTGGATGGGGCTATGCTAATGAGGGGGATGTGGCTATGCTGATGAGGGGGAGATGAGGCCATGCTAATGAGGGGGGATGGGACTATGCCAATGAGGAGGATGGGGCTATGCTAATGAGGGGGATGGGGCTATGCTAATGAGGGGAATGTGGCTATGCTGATGAGGGGGAGATGAGGCCATGCTAATGAGGGGGGATGGGACTATGCTAATGAGGAGGATGGGGCTATGCTAATGAGGGGGATGGGGCTATGCTAATGAAGGGGGATGGGCTATGCTAATGAGGGGGCTGGGCTATGCTAATGAGGGGGGATGTGGCTATGCTGATGAGGGGGAGATGAGGCCATGCTAATGAGGGGGGATGGAACTATGCTAACGAGGAGGATGAGGCTATGCTAATGAGGGGGAAGGGGCAATGCTAATGAGGGGGATGGGGCTATGCTAATGAAGGGGGATGGGGCTATGCTAATGAGGAGGATGAGGCTATGCTAATGAGGGGGATGGGGCTATGCTAATGAAGGGAGATGGGCTATGCTAATGAGGGGGGGTGGACTATGCTAATGAGGGGGATGGGGCTTTGCTGAGGGAGGGTGGGCTATGCTAATGAGGGGGATGGGGCTATGCTAATGAGGGGGATGTGGCTATGCTGATGAGGGGGAGATGAGGCCATGCTAATGAGGGGGATGGGGCTTTGCTAAGGGAGGATGGTCTATGCTAATTAGGGATGGACTATACTGAGGAGGGATGGGAAAAGCTAATGAGGAGGGATGGGCTATGCTAATGAGGGGGGATGGGGCTATGGTAATGAGGGTGTGTGGCTATGCTAATGAGGGGGGATTGGCTATGCTAATGAGGGAGATGGTTTATGCTAATGAGGGGAGATGGGGCTATGCTAATGAGGGGGATGGGGCTATGCTAATGAAGGAGGATGGGCTATGCTAATGAGGGGGGATGGGCTATGCTAATGAGGGGGGGGGATGGGGCTATGGTAATGAGGGTGTGTGGCTATGCTAATGAGGGGGGATTGGCTATGCTAATGAGGGAGATGGTTTATGCTAATGAGGGGAGATGGGGCTATGCTAATTAGGGGGATGGGGCTATGCTAATGAAGGAGGATGGGCTATGCTAATGAGGGGGGATGGGCTATGCTAATGAGGGGGGGGATGGGGCTGTGCTAATGAAGGGGGATTGGGATATGATAATGAGGATGGGGCTATGCTAATGAGGGGGGATGGGGCTATGCTAATGAGGGGGGATGGGGCTAT